TGTTGACAGAGTCGGCATGTTGGGAAGGGTTGGAGGTTGGCGTTGTGGGTCAGGAGTGCCTGAGACTTGTGAGTTTTCCTCTTGACTTCGGCAGCGGTGATTTTGTGGGCCTCAGATATGGCTGTTCCAGTCTTCATTGCTCTTCTGTAGGCTGTTCAGTTCTGTACGAGGTCTTTCCAAGTATTCGAGTTTACCTGTAGCCGCCCCAGGATTTCACGAAGCGGGGTTTGAACGGCGGGCATCTCAAATGCATGAGAATGCCGCAGGTCAGGTTGAGAAGGAGCCGCTTCAATCTGGCTCTCAGCTCACCAGTCTGTCACTCCGCACAAACATTAAAACGACCGAAAAAACTGTGTGGACTGAGTTAGGGCATCAGTCAGCAGCCTTCCAAACCACAGTGCTTGACGCTCAATGATAGTCTCAGACTTGAGTTACATATGCAACAAATGCTTCATGGAGATGGAGCCGAGGCTCACAATGCCCACTTGCGTGAGAGGTGGGAACTGGATACTTTTGGTGGATGATGATGTTGGGCGATGTACTTTAAGGAAGATGTGATGGTGTGACCTACCCAGCGGTTGTCTACCACAGGTTTTCGTGAATGCACATGTAACCTAATCGGTCCACGCGGTGAATGAACGTGCGGGTAGAGTGAGGGCAGTTGTGGCGAATGAGTCGGATGTATGTTGGTGCTCCAGGTACTGGTTCACCAGTCTTTGTGTGTTGGACTCGTGAGGTGTGTGTACGGTGACACTGGGGACAGGAGAATTTGGCGGTGTCAATGCCAGTTTAGAAGATGCTGATCGGCTGTTGATGCTTGACGCGCTGGGTGACGGGGTGTGTTTTGGGTTAGGCATGGTGGGTGTACCAAATGTGCTGATTGTTGTGTAACCGATGGCGGTTGGCGTGCTGGGCGACGGCTAGTTCTGCATACATGACAATTTGGCCGAAGTAATGGGCGATGCCCACTGTTCTCACAGCAGAGTGAGAGTAGAGTTGGTGAATTGAATGCCACAGTACTGACAGTAGTCTTCCACTGTTTCTATCACACGCAGCCCTCCAATGCCTGGACAGGGTGTCAGGACAGAGTCAAGAGGAGTGGATTTGGGAGAGGGTGCAGGTAGTTGACACATCGAAAACCTACACTTAAAACTTCCATCACATCCCTGGTCCACAGCGTACACCTACCAGGATTTTAAACCGCAAGAAAGGGAAGGAATGGGAAGACAACACGTACCCCAGTTGGCACTGCGTGTGCCTGTCGGAGTTCGTCATTGGTGTGCATTCCCGATAACGCTTGTCAGACTCCCAGCTAGCCCTCGTGTTAGTATAGCGCAGCTACTGTTTGGTCTGCTTTGGAATCAAGTATAAATACCTAAAAGAGATCTCACAAATAGTACCCAGATCTGCAGGCTGACTGTTATGGATCATTGAGGAAAGGCGTAGAGTTAGATGCCAACTGCATATGGCCGGCTCAGCAGTGAGAAGACAAAATTGCCAGAAGGCACTTGACACCTTTATAAAAACTCGATATCACGGTCAATGTGTGTTGGTCGCGTCTGTGGGTAGTATTCGGCGTAGGACATGGCAATTACGCTCGGCAGAAGTCAAGGAGTTATTTCAAAATCGAAAACTTCCCTGTGTTTAGCGCGGAAGCCGACAGCATTTCCCTATCTGCATCATTCCAGCGGGCAGTAAGTGGATCAAAATTATTAGGAATAAAATTATTTCAGTAGCACCGTTGCTGTACCTGAAACCATTTGTAAATGTAGAAGGCGCATCCCACATATGCTTGACAAGTGTAAAGTACTACCACTAATGATGTGTACTTTCGTTAGCGATAACAGGGCCAGAAAGCCGGAGATACAGCGGTTGCGAGCAAGTGTTCGCACCCTTCCCAAGATATGGCCAATTTCAAAATACCATTTGCAGATATGGAACCGCTAGACCCTTTGCTTGCACAAGAATAAGCCACTTCTAGCGAAAACAGAAGTCTTCTCCCGAAGTCTAGATCAAGTACTCAGTAGTACTTCAAGTGGTGTTTCAGGGGGTGTTAGTGAGTAAACTGGTATGAACATTGGGTTGGTTAGGAGTGAAATTGAAGACGCTAAAACGTACACGCAATTCCATGTTGCAAAATATCCCGTTTCATTTATTTGCTCTCGAGGACTCCTACATATTCTCCCATGGGTCCGCAGACTAGAAGCAGGCTTCTGTCTCATTTTTCGTTAACAGTAGTTCGAATTTAACTCATTTTCCAGTCCTTATTCATGATAGTCGTCCATACTATCTTCGCAATTCTCCCTTGATTATACCTGCTTTCGCTTCCTCCACCTCTAGGCGTCTCTTTTTTCGCTTCCAGCTATAATTTCCTCTGGAATAACCTTCCAATTGATATAATATAATCAGATAAGACGTCTGAGTCTTAATCTGAATGCTGATTCTATTAAAATGCTATAATGCTCATTATTCCCAGGCAACTTTACCTTTGAGTTTGAGGAAGTCCCGTCGAGACTTAAGGGCGTGGTTGCAAACCTGCTATACCCTCTCACATTTCTCTCCCTACACGCGGTTAAGTTTCATAGGATTTCTCATCGGAAATTTCGATGACATTTCAGTACATACAGTGTGTACTTCACAGAACGCAATGTCCTTCCCAGCCACCATCTCAGAGAAGTACTGGGGCCCTGTCAACGTGCGCGCTGTAAGCGGTCTCCAGTTCGCTTATCGTCGATCCTCAATAGGAATCCGTTCTGGGCTCTGAGATTGAAAGCCCTCGCTCCCGATCTGAGTGCCACCCTCCGGGTATGTCACCTTCTAAAATCCCCCTGCTCTCATCCTCTCTCATAAAGAATTTACCTTGCTCCACCATATCCCTTCGTAAACGATGATTTTCGCGAATATTAACGCTATACCCCTATTTCGACCTCCAGCGGTAAACTGATAAACATGGCGGATTGCTCTGTTTTCCCCAGCTCTTTATTGATTGATCACACAGCAAAGAAGTATCATGCTCGTATCTACCCGCGCTGTGATAAACCCACAGCCCTTCAAGAAATCTCTAGTGTACCTGTTCGGCGGGCTCTCAGAATTGTAATCCCAGAAATGTGGTGGAGAGGAGTCAACCGGGGTGGTAGTGGAAAATTCCTCTATATTTGCTTCGGAGTCAACGTTGAAGGCTTGTTC